GCATCGCGCTGCGCGCGCCGAGGTGCCTGCAACTTTAATTAAAGGGCCGTCCCCTCGCTCAGGCTGCAGCACCGCCCCCCGGCTCCTCGCGCCTCAAAATGAGTAGCTCCCACTCCCGGGCGGCCCAGAGCGCGGCGGGCGCGGCTCCGGGTGGCGGCGCCGACACCCGAGACGCCGAGATGCCGGCCACCGAGAAGGACCTGGCGGAGGACGCGCCGTGGAAGAAGATCCAGCAGAACACGTTCACGCGCTGGTGCAACGAGCACCTCAAGTGCGTGAGCAAGCGCATCGCCAACCTGCAGACGGACCTGAGCGACGGGCTGCGGCTCATCGCGCTGCTCGAGGTGCTCAGCCAGAAGAAGATGCACCGCAAGCACAACCAGAGGCCCACCTTCCGCCAGATGCAGCTGGAGAACGTGTCGGTGGCGCTCGAGTTCCTGGACCGCGAGAGCATCAAGCTCGTGTCCATAGGTGAGGCCCCGGGCCGCGGGAGGCAGAGGGCGGGGCCCGCGCCCTCCCCCCAACCGACCCCTCCCAGCTGCCCTGCAGTCGCGCCGCTGCCCCTGGTCCCTGGGCCGCAGGGCTCCGCGCGGGCCTCGAGAACAAAGGCGCGCTGGCCGGCAGCGGGTGTGTGGACCGCTAAGCGTCCTCACCGCCGCGCCCGGCTGGCCCGCGCCCAGGCTGAGCTCACATCCTCCGCAAGCCGCGCCCCTGCCGCTGCGCTCGCGATGGACAGGGTCTGGGGGTGGGGAGTGGGCACCCGCCAGGCCCTGGCCCTGTGCCCGGCGCCCCATCCCTCCGCGCGCTGCTGGGCCCGCCAACCCTTGCCTTAGCTAGACGAGGGCTTGTGGGCCTAGGTCGCCCCGCGCCTCCTAGACAGCCCTGGACCCTGTGCCGCCCATTGTCTGGGACTCCCGGCTTTTCTGGCCCTACCTGGAACGGACGCTCCCCACTGGACAGGGCTCCAGCCCCCACTCTTTAGCTCACCCCTCAGAACTTGGGAGTGGGCAGAGAGAAGAGTCAGCAAGGGGGGCCTTGGCTGCCTCTGTGGGGCTGGCAAAGGGACCTAGCTGGACTGGACGCCAGCTGACCGTTCCTCCAGCGCCAGACTGCCACTTACACGTGGGCCGGGCTCCCGTGTCTAGAGGTTCTATGGCGCGCACCGGGCTCTGGACAGCTGCTGTCCCTGTCACCAGCGTGCGGAGGCTCGCACTGGTTGGGCCTACTGCCACATCCCAGGCCTGCTCCAGACTGGCTGCACTCTCAGTGTGTAGCGGGGCTGGGGACTTGAGGGTATTGTGCCACCCAGAGAGGAGGGGCCTGAGCTGGCTTTTCTTCTGGATTGACCCTGCACAGTCACCAGTGCTGAGTCCCACAAAGTGAGGGACCCAGACTCAGGTGACCCCAAGCATGCAGAGGGCAGGTCCCATGGGCCCCCTCTTTCTCCTGGATGCCTGTGGATGCAGAGGCCCACCCCCTCAGCCCCAGCCTCCATCTAGCCAAGCTGAGTCATCTTTGAGGCTGGGAGAGGGGCAAGCGGATGTGGGGAGGCAGGCCACACCCCAGCTATCTTGGGGGGGGGTCTCCTCCTCCCTCCCTCCCTCCTCCTTACTCCCCTTGTGAGCTGGCTGGAGCAGGCCTAGTTCCCAGAGCTTTGCCATATAAGGCAAAAAAATGTTGGAAAGCTGCAATGATTAAGGGAGGGAGGGGGCAGACTGGCTCACGCTGGGGAAAGGGGGTGGGGTGGGGCGGGGCCACCTACCAGGCCATCTCCAGCCCAGGCTCTGGTTCTTCCTTCCCTCTTTTGTGAGGGGCATGGGGGGGCCTGGGTTGGCCTCTCCTGGACCAGGGGGAGGGCTCGGCCCACCCCACCATGGCTGCTGAGCCTGATCTTGCCCGGCTCCTCGGGGTGGGCTCAGGCCCCGTCGTCCTCCAGAGGGCCCACACGCTGGACGCCGGAGTTTGGCGGCGGCGGTGGGGGGCCTGTCGGGGTCTTCTCCGAACCTTCCAAGCACCCCTACCCGGGAACCCCCCTCTGCCCTCCCTGCTGCCACCTGGCGATAGTGCGAGGCACCGGGGCCCTCCCAAGCCCAGGCTGGGGACTGGGAGGCCGCTCTGCCTTGGGGGCGCTGCCCGCGGGGCCCCGGAGGGCCTTTGGGGTGGCCGCCCGTCTCCCCCGTGGACCCCCGCCCGCGCTTCCTTGAGCGTCTTCTCTGGGTGACCAGGCACCCACGGGCGAGCTCCTAGAAAGCCGGCCCCAGCCCTAGAGGAGACAGAGCCCAGAAGGGGCCCAGAGCCGGGTCCCACCCACCGGGTGCAGGGTGCCCGCCCTAACCACTTCCCCCGCGGGCGAGCCCGCCGCCCCGTTAGGTGGTTAGGTGGCGAGGAGGGTGGCGGAGCTGGCCGCCCCCCCGGGCCTCCGCCCCCTGCCAGGCTGGACCCCTCCGGGGCTCCCTGGCCCCACCCCACTCCCACTCCTCCTCCTCCTCCCCCTCCCCCTCCTCCTCGGGCGGGCGGGGTGGGGGGCCCACAGCGTGTCCTGCCGTCATGCATCCTGGCATGATGGGCAGGCCGTCCCGGGGGCGGTGAGTCAGGACCAGGCGGCCCCGAGGTTCCTGGGGCTCCCCGCCCCTCCCTGCACCGGGCCTGCAGCTTCTGCCCAACTCCGGGCGCGGCCCTGGGGGGCCGCTAAGGAAGTGCGGGGTGGGGCTCGCACCCTCCACCCAAAGGGTCCTTGCCCAACGCCCTCCACTTCCCCTGCCTCTGCCTCGGGCCTCACGCCCTCAGCCCCCAGCCCCGCCCCCCACCCTGGGCGGCAGTTGTATTTCCCAACCGCCCCGCCAGCTGGCCTTCCTCTTCCTCTCCCCGGCCCCCCACTCTTGCGGCCTGGGGGCTGTGGCCGCCCCCGCCTGTTTCCCTGGAGACCCCTGGCCGCGGGTGCTGGGTCCCCGCCGGGGCAGCTGGAAAGCCTTCGCCCTCCCTGCTCCCCAGAGCCCCCCTTGGGGGAGGCCCCGGTAGCCTGGCCCTCCTGCCGGGGGTGGGGGAGGGAGTGGGGGGGGGCGGCAGGGTCCCTTCCCCGCATCCAATTGTTACCGTGGGTCTCTGGGGCGCCCCTCCCCCAGAAGTCGGCCACGGCTGGAACCTCACCGGGCACCTCCACCTCCACGGAATCCCTGGGCAGAGAGGGCCAGACCCGCGCCTCGCCCCAGCCCAGAGGGGACCTCGTCCTCCTCCCCGGCCCCCCCCACGCGCCCCCCGCTGCCTGGGAGTGACAGACGCCCCAAGCCTGAGTGTGTGCAAACGCTCTGGACACTTGGGGCGGCTGCTGCCTGCCCAGCGCTGCCACCCCTCCCGCGCAGACAGCAAGGCCATCGTGGATGGGAACCTGAAGTTGATCCTGGGCCTCATCTGGACCCTGATCCTGCACTACTCCATCTCCATGCCCATGTGGGACGAGGAGGAGGACGAGGAGGCCAAGAAGCAGACCCCCAAGCAGAGGCTGCTGGGCTGGATCCAGAACAAACTGCCCCAGCTGCCCATCACCAACTTCAGTCGGGACTGGCAGAGCGGCAGGGCCCTGGGCGCGCTAGTCGACAGCTGTGCCCCGGGTGAGGGTCGGGGCCTCGTGGGTGGGGGGGATAGCCCATGGGGGTCCCACGTGCTTGGACTCAACGCCCGCCCTGCCTGGCAGGCCTGTGTCCTGACTGGGACTCCTGGGATGCCAGCAAGCCTGTGAACAACGCGCGGGAAGCCATGCAGCAGGCAGACGACTGGCTGGGCATCCCCCAGGTAGGGCCCACCTGCCTGCTCGGGTTGGC